TCAGCTGCAGGTCAGTGAACGCACCTCAGCTGCAGGTCAGTGAACACACCTCAGCTGCAGGTCAGTGAACGCACCTGAGCGATGAACGGAGCGATCATTCCTCCGATTCGACTGAACGAGGTGCAGAAACCCATCCCCAGAGACCGGGCCACGGTCGGGTACACCTGGGAGGAAACAACACACCGGAGAACGTGAACCGGATTTTGGAATACCCCAGTGAGACCAGGATTATGGGTCTGGAACCAGAAAAGTGGACCTACCTCAGCGGTGTAAATGTAAACTACATTAAAGTTCATGGAGACCAGAGACCGGAGCAGGAACAGCAGAACCGTAAAACCAAACCTGCAGGAAAAAAGTCCAGGGAAGAATCCATGATAAACCTGGTCCTGGTCCATCAGGACTCTCAGATCAGGACAGCGGGGTCAGGTCTTACATGGTGGTGCAGATGTTGACCATCATGAAGAAAAAGGCTGTCATCAGCTGAAGAACCGTCAGGGTGGTCTTCCGTCCAAACACGTTGAGCAGAGCGATGTTTATTGGGACCACTAGGGGGACAAAGGACAGGAAGTGGGTCAGACAGGAGACCTGGTCCAGGACTTCATGCAGGGTCACTGGTTACAGAAAAAGTATTTTTGTTTTATTTTATGGTCAATAAATTAAATTTAGCAACGTTGGCCATGTTGCTGCCTCTAGTGGACAGAGTGAATATTACAACCACCCAGCTGAATAAAACTTTAGCTGATGAAGAAGAGGGACAGTTTCAGGGTCAGACCACTGGAGGACTGAGAACCCCAGCTGGTCTTAGGTCCTGACTCACATGCGACCTCTCCCAGGGAGCTGATGAGCAGGGTCTGGTAGTCGCTGGTTCCGAAGGGGATGCAGTAACAAAGCCCGTTGTCATGGCGATGCTTGACCTGATGCTCCCGGTCGGCGTTGGTCACACACAGCAGGTTCTTCTCCAGCAACTCCGAACTGCTCAGGACCGAACCGTAGTATGCAAAGGACGCCACGAACCTACGGAGCAAACAAAAACCTGAAGTCTGGTTCTGACGGAGAAGAACAAGAACTGAACAACAATCGGATCAGCGACAACTCTGTGAAGATTTATGAGTTGGGCAAGTCTTCTGGAGACATTTCTAGACAGGAAGGAGACCCAAACTGTCCCCTTCAGATGGAAGGAGACAGGTTTGAGGTTCAGAGACAAGCCAGGATCCATGAAGGCTCAGTGAACCTCCGGCCTCTGGGCCAAACCGAGTGGACTCAGTAAAACTGGAATGACTCGGGGACGCCTGTGGACTTCAGTTTCTTCAAGTCTTACCATGAATACCAGAGCAGCAGGGAGGTTCTCCTCAACGAAGAGCTCAGCAGGATCCTCCAGTTTCCTCGGTCTTTCTGAAACATTTACAGAAAACAAACGTGAGGAAACAACCATCAGAACCACCGAGAGGAGGGCCGCCCAGCGTTCTGCTGTCAGACCCACACCAGTCCACTCTGATGTCCCGCCAAGACAAAGACCCAATGTCCCGGTGTGGACAGAAGACGAGAAGTCCGTCCTGCAGAATTTAGTCTTTCAGAAGTTGGTGCTTCGTTTCCTTCAGCAGGAAATCTCAGTTTGAAATAAATTGAATAAAACTGGACAAACGTTAGCTAAAAGCTAAAAGGCAGCACAAAAGTAGCTAAAAGCTAAAGGTAGTGAAAAAAAAGACTTATTTTGCTGAAGCACATTTTAAAATGAATGTTTTGATGGAATTAAAGAGACCTTGATGTATTTCTTTGGGGGAACCTCTCTCAAGTAAAGCTTAATGGTTTCAAAAGTACAAACGTTACAAAAAACAGAAACCAATGCACCCGTCTCCTGAATGTACACTTTGACGTACAAACGGCTAAAATAGCACAAAGTCTGCAGAAAGAGTTGCAAAAAACTTACAGGAAAATGGGAGAATGATAGTGCTGGTGTAGTGTCAGTCACTGGTTACACAAACAAACAAACAAATAAATAAATAAATCTTCTAGTCTGTAGCTGAAGATGTTTATCTTCCCATCCAGGGATCTTTGTCAGTTCAAACTTTCCAAGTGAGGAGTTCTGTAACCTGGACTCACCTGCAGATTAAACTCCGCCCCTCCCTCCTGAGGAATTAAACTCCGCCCCTCCCTCCTGAGGAATTAAACTCCGCCCCTCCCTCCTGAGGAATTAAACTCCGCCCCTCCCTCCTGAGGGTCACATTACGACTGTCATTGTAAGTTTTGTATGTGCGTGTGCACACTGCTAATTGTGTTCAAACGAGTCAAGTTTATTTATATAGCACATTTAAAACTAGTGGTTATCAAAGTGCTTAACAAAACAGATCAAAGCATCAAATATTAATAAGATATTGCAGCATCAGGAATAAAACATGAAATATAATTAGAAACGATGAAATACCAAATGAGATCACCCTGAGTTAAATGTCAGGGAGTCCGTGTGTGTGTTGAGGAGAGTTTTAAAAATAGAGACTGAGGTGGCCTGTTGAATGTTGATGGGCAGATTGTTCCAGAGTTTAGGGCCCACGACTGAAAACGCTCGATCTCCTCTGAGCTTCAACTGGTTTCTGGTCCCACCAACAGCAGCTGGTCTGATGATCTCAAGGCCTGAGAAGGAGAATAAGGATGAAGGAGGTCGGAGAGGTCTGAGGGTGCAAGGCCTTTAACACACTTAAATGTCAGCAGAAGAATCTTAAAATCAACTCTGACACGCACAGGAAGCCAGTGAAGAGAGGACAGAGCTGGAGTAATGTGCTCAAACCTGCCAGTTCCTGTTAGTAGCCGAGCTGCAGCATTTTGTACGAGCTGGAGACGAGAGAGAGAGACCTGACTGACCCCAGCATAAAGAGAGTTACAGTAGTCCAGCCGGGCTGTAATAAATGCATGGACTCATGTTTCGAGGTCGGATCTGGACGGAACAAACCATTTTTAAACCGTCGGGACTTGGAGAAGCTGTTCGTGCTTTCATCAGTTCTCGGCTCGATTATTGTAACTCTGTGTCGTGCACCTCAGTCATCCCTGAGCCGCCTCCAGCTGGGTCAAAACGCAGCAGCCGCTCCTAGACGGGACCACATCACACTGTTTGGGCTTCCTGCCTGTTTTAGAAAGATTTAAAACTTGTATTTGTTTTAAAGCTCTGAATGGCCTCGCTGCTCCTCACAGAACAGAGTTGTTCAGCTCCAGGTCTCTGAGGTCCGACAGCTCCTGCTCTCTGTTCCCAGCACAGAATATAAACTCTGGGCGACCGTGGCTTTTCTGCAGCCGCACCTCGACTCTGGAATAAACTCCCGCTTGATCTACGTCAGGTTACTGAACTGGGCCATTTTAAATAGAAGCTGAAGACTTTTTATTCCAACAGGCTTTTAGTACCTAAATATGTGATGACATTTTGTTATTTTGTTGTGTTTTTTCTTGTTTTTAACTTGTTCTCATGTTGATTACTGTTTTTGTTAAGCACTTTGGGCACCACCACCGTGGTTGTGTAAAGCACTAAAGAAATAAATTAATTAAATGACTCAAACTCCCCTAACGAGGAACACCTCGACAAATTAAACAGCTTAAATGAGTCAAACGGCCTGAACTACTAAAACTCTGCAAAGGATTTGAACTCCTCAAATGACTCCAAGTTCCTGAACGACTCGAACTCCCTGAACGACTCAAACTCCCTGAACGACTCGAACTCCCTGAACGACTC